GCGAGGAGCCGGAGGATGAGGGAGGGAGAGGGAGTAGATAGGAAGGGAGAGGGGGGAGGGGGGGGGGGAGGGGGAGAGGGGAGGAGGAAGGAGGGGGGGGGGGGGGGGGGGCGGGGGGGGGAGGGGGGGTTTGATTGTGAATGCTGAGATTGACGAGGTTGACGAGATACTAGAAACGGCAAGCGTTGTTCCCGAGCATGCAAGCGGTTGGGAAATTTCCCTGGCAGAAACACCTAAGCGAGATCTCTTGCTTCCAACCCCCGCTACAACACCAGCATGACCTATCCAGCTGGACCATCCCATTGATTCTAAAACCGAGATAGCGACGGTACACCACGCCCAGAGCCTACGAGATCGCTAAAACCAATACCTGGAGGCTGGTTCGATAGACAGCGAGATCCAACGCCCATTCGACCCAATCTGACGACCCTGAGGTCTCTGACAAGAATCGCGGATTTGCCTGAGCCGGAGACGCCCATACAGCTTACAGATACCCTCCCGGAATCGCCTGTATGATTGGACCCTCATATTGACGATGATATTGTCAATTCACCCTCGAAGCAGCTTATGGGTGAGGTGCAGCGAACGGGCATTGGTCCTGACAGCCACGATGACGACATCGACGAGATCCCCCATCGACCAAGGCACAGCGTAAGTGCTGATCTTTCTGAGGAAGATATCATTTCAGGAAAACGCGAGCGTCGACCTCGCTGATACTACGGATTCACAGCCACTGATTGGCTGGATGGCCTGAGAAAATTCCATTCAGCATTCGCCGCGTTTGGTGCAGGCCTGGAGAAAGGTTTTATACCACTATCGAACGAACTGATGAGACGACTTTATCGCAACGAACTGCCTCCACCTCCCAAGAACTAGAAGGAAGTGGACAAGGACCCGCTGAAGGAGCTCTTCAAGGCCGCTGCAGAGTTGGAACACAGTACATTGGTGGCCAGAGGGACCTTCAAGAAGGTTGAACAGCCCATCGGCAAGCAGATCATTCCGCTGATGTGGGTTTTTACCTACAAATTCGACCAAGAAGGCTACCTGATCAAGGCAAAAGCCCGTAGCTGCGTGAGGGGTGATATGCAACAGATGACGCGCGAAGATACTACTACTACGACCCTAGCAGCCCGCACCTTCCGCACCTTGATGGCTATCGCAGCCGCGTTTGACCTTGATATCCGGCAAATCAATGCTCTTAACGCGTTCGTGAACAGCAAGATAGATAAGGAGGTATACTCCTGGATGGCAGATGGGTTCTCCGATTACAGTTATGCTTACCGGCTAAAACGAGCCCTCTACGGCCTCCGCATGTTACCTCGCCTCTGGCAGAAAGAACTGACTGAAACCCTTAAGGAGCTAGGTGTGGAGCGAATCGATACGGATACCTGCCTCTATACCGACGATAAGGTGGTGCTCATGGTGTTCGTCGACGATATATTGGTTCTCTACCAGCCTGAGCATCGCAGATACGCAGACAACATGATCCGACGATTGCAAACCCGCTACGAATTCCGTGATCTAGGTGAGAGAGACAGCTTTTTGAACATCAAGATCACGCGAGATAGGTCCAAGAGGAAGCTCTGGCTCAACCAGGGAGCCTATATCGATAAGATCGTTGCAAGATACCACCTGGAATTGTCTGGACGGACCATCTTGGCGCCATCAGATGGTAAGATCTTACGCCCTTTTGACGGTGTGGCATCGGCAGCAGATATCCACCACTACCAATCAAAAACTGGATCGGTTCTATATCCAGCGGTGATTACCCGAATGGATATCGCGAAGGTTACGTCCGATCTGGCGAGGCATCTCACCAACCCCAGTCCGGAGCATTTTGACGCCGTCAACCGCGTAATATGATATCTGGATGCAACCCGCGATTACGCCTTGGAATTTGGTGGTGATATAACCAGTGATATCTTTATCATCGCGAACGATGCCGCCTACGGAGATCAGATGGATCATACCAGCAGCAAGGGGTATCTAGTGAAGCTATTCGGAGCTGCAGTCGACTGGCGAGCAGCTAAGCAACGCACCATTACGACCTCTACAACCGAAGCCGAGCTTCTCGCGGTATCTGAGGCTGGAAAGAACGTTTTCTGGTGGAAATGACTGTTTCTTGATAATGGATTCGACCTGGAGCATGAGATATCTATCTTATGTGATAACAAGCAGACGGTAGGGTTGCTTTGTAGCCAGGAGCCCGTTATCCATATGAAGGGGGGGGGTGTGTTGGAATAAGATACCACTATGATTATGGATATGATGCCCTAGACTGACGAGTACATCGTCCGGACACCTTTTTAGCCTTGTGGTATTTTATATTATATTTCTATAAACACAAATCAGAATATATACACTCAGCGATGGAATAATATCAGCCGTTAGGAATAACATACTCTAATAATGACATGATGAAGGTCATATGACATTGATTGCAATATCATCAGTAATACTAAAATAAAGGAAATACCTTGTTATAAAGCCATCAGACTCACAGACAAATAAGCTATCTAATCTAAAGTAGAAATGATTGAGACACAAGGCAAAGCTGCTTAATTTAGATTAACAATCATTGAAATGTAAGACAAAACTAACGCTAAAGATCAGGAAACTGCAAAGACAAGTCTATAAATTAGAACCACCATCAGCTTAGCTCATTAAATGACTCTATGACGCGGAACTTACCATTAAGGAAGTGATCATTCACCTGCCAGTTACAGACCATAAAGTGATGCAGCCGCACAGACAAGCAAGAATCCATACCACCAAACCAATCAAGTTGACATACGCTGAAGGCATCTTAACAATGGTAGTCAGTGAGAGAAAGGAGAAATCAATCAACATGGCCATTTAGCCTGAAATTTCATGAAGAGCTCCTGCATGGTGAGATTCCGCGCATTGTGGTTGCCATCCCGCTCAGATGCTGCCTTGAGTTGCCGGCGATTCCCCTGTCGTGTGAAGATGCGTTATTCATATTGCATATCAGGTACAACAAACCGGATGCATGTTGTCCGGGGGTTATTCTGGCCCATTCGGCGAATTCGCGCAAACGCCTGCTCTTCAACACCCTCCAGATAATCAGGCTCAAAGAGGACGGCCCGGAACGCACGAGTACAGGTATAGCCGGTCCCAATGACCCCAGTGGTGGACACAAGGATGCCTGGACTTCGAATCTTCCTGCGATCGTCTTCAACTTCGGCTCCGGTGTTATAATTCTGGAAAGCATCCACATAGCTCTGGCGATTCTTATCAGTTGCCCATAACGCCTTCACATGTTGCTCAGGAAATGTTTTTGCTAAGGCCTAGCGGTGACAGACACAAGTAGATCAGTACCAATGATTGATTGCACTAAGAATAGATCAGGAGATGGAGCGGTTACTTACCAGGCTTAGGATAAATACTGTGACAGGATGCTTGGTCATAATCAAGAGCTTCTCTGGTCTGCCCAGGTTGTCAGTAAGGCCCTCATTGATCATTCCGCACAGATATTGAAACTTGGACGACCCATCCATGACCATGTCTAGGTTCTGCATGATTGGGCACGCCCCTGGGTTTTCAGGCCATTTTAGTCTAACGAGATCGTCCATAGAGAAGGCTAGCTTCTCAATACCACCTAACTGGTCAGCAAGGTCCAGAAGTCCTGGGAAGCTGGTGATGATCCGGAGCTGCCCGAGCTTCCGGGCACCTGCTGCAGAGAGTTTGAAGTATTTCTTACTGCCCTCCTTCCGAGCCTGCTGTTCAGACAATTGGATCCGATCCAGTTCGCTGGAAACATCAGAATCCATCTGGCTCATGGCATCACGGTATTGCTGTGGGATGGGACACTCCACATTGATTCTTTGGTCCGGAGGCAGTTTAATAATCATGTCTTCATGCCATCTGGAATCAACAGTTCGGCGGATAAACCCCAGTGTGATCAGGATCAGCTTGAATTCCTCAGTGAGGAGACCTAGCTGAGCATCGGCTTTGTTTGCCAGCCTGGAGAATCGCTGCCCAAGATTCTTGATCCGTTCAGAGGTGCAGTATTGCAGTGCCACATTCTCCTTCCATGAAGGTCTCTCGAGTAATTTGATGTAGGGGGCTATGTCGCTGGGTGATGTCTCAAATGGCGTGCCACTTAACATCCATAAAGCTGGGGAGCGCAACTCCTTAAAAAGCTTGAAGGTGGTTCCTTCACCCTTCTCCTCATGGCACTCATCCCGGAATGCCCGCCCAAATCGCGCGCCGACCACGCTGACTTTGTCCCCTTGGCTGCGTGAGCCCGCGCCTGTTTTAGGGGCGGGGGCCCGGCCGGACAGGGTCAAGGGTTGCAGCACATGCCTTTCAACACTTCTGGGAGCTGACAGGATGACAAACCGGTCTGCATCTTTAGGGATTGTACCACATTCCTCCTCAGAAGCCAGTTTAAGTGCTTTCATTTTGTCTGTACCCAGTGTTTTATCACGGCTTGCCAGACATGCATGGGCATGAAGCCACTCTTTAGCCTCTGGGATCATGAGTAAATCTTTGTGCTGAAATTCTGTAACAGTCCTTATGCCCTTGATCTGTGTACCATGCCCAAGTAGCAGGTGCATACGCAGCAAGTCATGTGGTTTGACTGTGTCATTCCATTCCTTCACCCACACAGGAATGAGGCGCTTAGGGACAACAACCAAGTTTAAGCCATTGTGGACTGCTGTGTATTTAGCAGTAGGGCCTTCCCGCACGCATGGACAGCATATAGGGAAGTCTGCAGCGCTTGGGCACTCATCACCAGGTTTTTGATCATCAGGTGAGAGATGTCTGCCGTCGTTGTCTAACAATGACTTCTCCACAGCCTGCCAGGCTAGGCGCACCCAGCGGCTAATGACACAAAGTGCAATGGCGGTAGTGGTCTATGAAAAACACCCGGATTAGTATTCATGTATGTTAATAATGCCGTGACGGCGGTGAGCCTGCTTACCTTGCCTAGGCCCATGTCGTCTGCGAGATATCCTCCATTCTGGGTTCTCTCGGTAGTCAGCATCCAGTATACCGCAAAGGCCTGGTGAGGTTTTAGTGGACGACTCAGTCCAGGTATCTCAATGAGTTCCGTGGCCTTTTCCCCGTAGTCACCTGTGATCTTATAGAACCTCTGGCAGGCCTTCCAGGTCTCTTGATCACACCGGTCAACAGTAAATGAGGTCCGGAAAGCTTGTAATCTGGTCATTACATCATCAGTCTCTGATTAACCACTCTGTTAGTATAAGATGCACTTACTCATCTGTTGCTCCCTCCTGTAGTGAGGCTGAAACTCCTGCAAGGTCATAATTGGTCATGTTGTCTACACTGTCATTATTAGCAGGCTCTGTGTCCCCTTGGTTGACTTCAGGCGAACTCGGGCTGGTTATGAGTTAGTTATATTTTTAATCTGCCACTCATAACATGATGTCTCTAGGCATAGAGGAAACCAGTGGGAGTAACTTACAAGTCCAGGCGGCCGTCGTTGACGTCTGTTCCTTTATCTTGACTACCATCATCGTCATCAAGGGTGAGGTCAATTACAACCCGTTTTGGTTGCGCAACGGTCTCATTGGGGAGTCTCTCTGTATCCCTGAAAACCTCCTCAGTTTCCTCCTCGGTTTCGTCAAATAAGGCCTCTGTGGGGACCTCATCCAGGGACTCATTGAGTTCCTCCTCGGTTTCCTCCTCGGGTTTGTCGAATATGGCCTCCTGGAGGACCTCGTCCAGGAACCTACTGACTTCCTCCTCGACTTCCTCCTCAACTTCCTTGTCGGCTCCCTCTGTGTCTTCCGTATCATGCATAATCCTACGGTATGGGTTGGTGCCAATGTGTACGTTTCTATTAAAATGAGACACCATCAGCAAGAGATTCATTGAATATTTGGTCTAGGGAGATTACCTGGGCGCAACACATTTAATCCTGGCTCGCTTCCGTTCCGGACTGTTACCGTCAGAGTTGCTAGCTTGCTGCTGCCGCCTCTCCCGCGCACGTTTGCGCGTGGCTTGGTGTATCTGGACAGGATCTTGCATGATATCCAAGTCTTCATCTTCCGTATCAAACCTAAGGTCAAGGCCTGGGGAGGGAAAGGGTGTTGCTCTATTAAAATGATACATCATTAGTAAGAGATTCATTGAATGTCTGGTCTAGGGAGTTTACCTGCGCCCGACACGTTTGGTCCTGGCATGTTTCCGTACCCGACCATCACCATCAGAGTTGCTCGCACGCTGCCGCTTCTGCATCTCCAGCTCACATTCACCAATAGTGGGCGCTTGAATTAGGCTGCGTGGTTGTCCTAAATCAAAGACTGAGAAAGATGGCGGTTGGGGAGGTAGAGGTAATGTCACTCGTGGGGTCATTACAGGGTTGGCTGTGGAAACACCTTCTTTAAACATTAGTGAATATATGTTTCATATGATTTATGATGTTATGGAAAGCGCTGGGTGCACCTACCATCTTTGGCTTGGATAGTGAATATCATGGGACCGGGCACCATGCTCGCTAGAGCCCCGATCCAAGTTGGTTCATCAGAGACATTGACATTATGTTCAGTGCCACTGACTGTGATATTGCATGAGATACTGTGTATGTCCTGTATCCACTCACATGAAGCTTTGAGGACAGTTTTAAATCTCGACCAGTCAAGGTCTGTCTGGTCGATGTATGTGGCGGATTGCAAGGTACCAGGTTTGGTAAACTGACTGAGGAAAAAGATCTTTACCCCTGATTGCCTGTGCCCGTACTTGACAAGGACCTGATGGTCAGCAAAATGGGTACGTATCTGGGGCGGCTCCATTTGTAAGGAAGATGCTGGCGTCTCTGCCGGTGGGTTCTGGTGAGTATTGGCCATGTTGAGTAATCGTAGTGCACTGTATTTCGTCTCACTGTTCTGAAGTAGTTCCTAGTCGAGGAAACAGTCAGATAGAATCGAATCTATCGAGGCTTTATAGAGCAGATTGCAAACCAAACTCGTGTGGTGGACGACCGAAACAAAGACAACGACTCACCTGGGATCCATGGTGGTGGTAACCAGGCCAAAACACGAAATGCTTTGTTTCCAGCCAACTGGGCGGTCTTGAACCTTGTAACTGCTGATATTCTTAGCCATTTCTTTGAACTTCTGTACAAATCCGGCATAACATGCTGTCTTGGAGGATGGGGCGCAGGTCCTAGAAATAGACTTTTTACAAAGAGAGCTGGAAACTAACCAGTACCCGTATGGCTCCTTAATCCTTGCCCCATTAATTTAGCCAGTAGAGGGTGCTTCATAATAATAAACTGTTAATATTATTAGCCTTTCTTTCAAACTAATTAAGAGCTGGTGTGGTGTAGGTGTTGGGCATGCAACAGTAGCAACAAAGGTGTTAACTTACCCAAGTCACTAGCAGATAATCAAGGAGCAGACAATGACATCCTAAAACGTCCTACCCCTGGGGCAACGCCTATCGAATATGATTATTCTGTGGATTCAGTTGAATGAGATAATGTGCTTTCACCATGCCTGGCGCCTGCGATATCGCAATATGGTGTGCCAGAGGCAGGTTTAATGGCCCACAGCAAGAATCTACACTGCTCTAATTAGATCTGGAGACACTGAGATCCTGAATAAGAATTGCGGATCACCATGTATAAGAAATCCAAGTGTATCTCTATCATGATTTTGGCTGCGAGTTGGTGTGGTGTTCATCCAGGTATCGATTGCATGACTTGATATGAGAATTCTCGTCGAAATAGGTACTCTGCAACTTCATATCTGGATATTTTGGAGGAGAATCTCTTTGCTATCAACTCTCTAGAGATGACATTCATGCAAAGATAACGCCCCGATCCATACAGCTTAAAAGGTCAAGAAATGGTTCGAAGATAATCGCAACCATTGATTGACCGCCATATTCGCCCAATCTCAACCTGATTGAGCATGGCCGGGCTAGGCTCACAGAGATGGTCTATTGACTAGATCCAGATATCAATAACTATTGAGGAACCAAAGATGAGGTAAAAGAATATTTTGATGATCAGATCGAGCGTGCGTGGGCGGCATTACGCCAGGAGAACTTTGATGTGTTTATTGAATCCGTGCTGCAGAGGGTGAAGGCACTTATCAAGGCTAAGCTAAGGTATGCAATACCGAATATTCTGTAGACAAAATATGATTTTTAAGTCCACAGTCATTCTTCTATAGACTCATACCTTTGTATATAAGTTTATGAGTGTATGCATAGTGTGGTAGAAAAATTGATATTTTTGAGGGAAATATACTTCTCCTTGAGGGGTAACAGTGCAGCCGCGGACTGTAGTCGCGCTAGTCCCAAAATGGATTGGAAGCGGACAATCACCGGAGGCTACTATTGTCGGGCCTCAGGCTCCTATTGTTCGGCCTGAGGCTCCTATTGTTATCAAGATTAGGTTAGACCGTGTCGCGTATCGCAAAACACCCAGCGAGAGCAACACACCAGATTCTTGTCTCTTCCATCTTCCCTCGTAGCACCCTCAGCGTTCGAATTCCTCGTTTTTACGGACGTTTTTACCCTATAATAATCATTTCTCAAGCCAAACACCCTGTACTCAAAAATAATGAAATATTTTTGTGCTCATATAAGAATAAAAGTAATAGCGGAGCAGTACAAGTTGCTTATTTTTAAAGGAGCAGCGGACCTGGAGGTGTGGGTAGTGGATCTCTGCAGTCTTTTAATGAGTTCCTTTGAAAGATCTTGAATTGTACTACTAGGGGCCAGTGATGACAGTCTTTGCAGAAGCATGTTAAGTTGGTCACTCCCCACAGGGAGACGTAGATCAATTATGTTACTGACTAGGACTTTGGGCCACACAGAATGTGTGGCCTCAGCCCTTTCCAGAGCAGCAGCTAGAAAAGGGAGGCGGTGCGGCAGACCGAGCGGCAGAAGCACTTAAAGTGTGAACTTCACCCAAGCACACAATTATATATATGATCTGTTGTTCTTGTGCAACCCCAGGTAACCATAAGAGGTTAACAAGTAACCTTCCTTATTATAGGGCGACCAACCTCGATAGTGTCGGCCAGCTCAGTTAGGACCGAACGCCTATGAGTACAGCTACCGGAGGCTGCACCAAGCTTTGGCGGCAACGGGGACTGAGACTTCGTTGGTACCACATTGCCAGCTGAAGTTTCATTCTTCTCAGGAAATTGGGACAAGGATTATACCTCGACATTGTAGGTATCTCCAGTAGGAGCTTCATCTGCATTTCCTTGTTATCAAAATCACTTTACCATATTGTCTGAAACATCCCACCACCCCCTGCAGAATGAAAGTATATCAGGTCGCCTCTATATACCACAACATCACCCACTTCGAGGCTTAATGCGGCTGTTGGGGCGGTATCATCGGGAACCAATTGATTTGCCCTGCTTCCCTTGTAGAAAGTATACCAGCCATTTACAGACGAGAGTGGAGTAAGAGCAATGGTAGCATATACCTCTCCCTTTTCTGCGGTTTTCAGCTTCTTCGGGTCTGCCTCGGTCCTCACAGGGAAGTTTGACTACAACCATACAAGCCAACTCAATCCCACTCTCCATGTGCGATCTCTGGGGATGATCACAATGGAGCTTATGGAGGGAGAGAGCAACGAAGATAGAGTAGTTGGAATTAAAGACCTTCACCGGTGGCCGTCTGATTCGGACGCCGTTTGACTTCCTCTCCGCTACGACTTCCGCAGGCTCTTTGCATGAACTGCAGAAGGTAAAGGTCTTGATAGTTTTGGAGGATTATGCTTACTCTTCTCAGCACCAACTGCTTTTAGAGCAACGCTAGAATCAAGGAGAGCTGGTCTGGTTGTTCCTATACACCCTTAAGAAATCCTGGAATAATTGTAACCTGGGTAACTGAAGTGTGGTGTTTTTCTTCACTCTCGCTCCACCCAGCTTTTAGTACCCCAAGTTGAACTAAGTGAAGGCTGTGATGAACTACATATAGTGCCAACAAAGTAGATGGCCACTTGACCATGGAATCTGTAGTCGCCTGCTACAGGCATTGCTGTGTATTCTTACACCCCTATATATGAGCCTTTCCTTTCGCTGATACCTACTGCAAAGTGTGACGCAAATATCCATGTCTCATTGATCAATAGATGTATAGCACAGTCTTACCATACAACAGATATATGGCGGTTTAGAACCAATTTCCACAACTCATGAGTTTGGTTTGGGATTCCCCCCTATAATGGCTGGTACTCAAGTTCTGTCATCCTCACTCTGCCTGCCAAGTGATCACCAACAATGGGATTTGGCTGAGGCAGAGACTGGAGAAGTCAGTATAACATTTCACTCATAATCTCAGACACTCACCCATTACAAGTGTTTCGCCTTGTGCTTCCTCACAATTAGAGGTATGGAAACAGATGATAAGCGAGAATGCTCATATCATTAACAGTACTATCTAGAATCTATGGAAGAAGTGGAAGGAGAACGTAGGGAGGTGGTGTAGCGAGCGAGGCTATACCATATCTGGTAGCGTAGGTGAACGAGCACCTGCGCTCACACCCCCCTTGCTCAGAGCCTGCGGGGGCGAGCGTGCTTGACATATTGCCGTATTAGGCAGGTGAGATAGAGAATCTGGTGGTTAGATGGCCACCATGCCGAGCTGGCGTATAAAACGCTGAAAGTTGGTCTTCGCGAGAGGCTTAGTGAGGCCATCGGCAGCCTGTTCTGCAGTGGGTACGTGAACGAATTCGACATTGCCAGCGGCAACTTCCTGGCGTAGGAAGTGGTAGCGAATATCAATGTGCTTGGTGCGGGAATGATACTCCGCATTCTTTGATAGTGCTAGTGCGCCTTAATTGTCTGTGCGAACGGCTATTGGACGAGAGAGAGGTATGCCTTCAAGAAGTAATAATTCCTACAGTAAAAGCATGAGCCAGATTCCCTCCTGGGTGGCAAGGGACATTGCAATGTATTCGCTCTCAGTAGATGATAGTGCAACGCTCTGCTGGCGTTTTGAACACCAGGAGATAGGCAAGTTTCCAATCATAAAGATGTATCCGGATGTAGAGACAGCTTGCTGGGCATGAGGCCCAGCCCAGTCAGCATCGGTGTATCCGTTTAAGGTGCCGATATCAGACGGATAAAAGATCGAGAGAGATATGGTAGCGGCGAGGTAACGAAGCACGCGTTTGACCGCGGAGAAGTGTGCTGGACCCGGGTTCTTGGCTGACCTAGCGAGGTAGGAAACCGCGAACGCGATGTCAGGCCGCGTGCCTAGCATAAGCCAGGTGAGCGATCCGACCATCTCCTGGTATAGCTTCACCTCGTCATTGGTAGCTGTCTGGTCGTACGGTGCGATAGGTTCCTTGTCGTTGAAAGGTGTTGGGAGCAGGTCGTCATGCCGAAGCGGCGGAGTATCTTCTTGATATACTCAGCCTGGGTCAAATAGATTCCTTCCTTGCGGCGTATCACGTCGACACCTAGATAGGTGGTAACCTCTCCGTTGTCTGTGTATTTGAACGATTTTTCAAGAGAGGTCAGGGAGCCATCGATAAGAGGTTTTGATCGAGAAAGAATCAGTATGTCCTCTACGTAGACTAGCAAGGCAATGCCTCGCTTTGTATAGACGCAGTGATCGGCGTGAGTACACTTGTATCCAATAGAAATGAAAAACTCATGCATCAAGCTGTACCACTCGCGTGGCGACTATTTTAGCCCGTAAAGTGTCTTCATAAGCAGAGCACACTTTGCAGCCTGCTTGAGGCCGTCAGGTAGATCAACGTAGATAGATTGCATGAGCTGTGCGTGTAAAAACGCAGTAACAATGTCAATGTGCCAAAGGAGCCAGCCATATTGGGCTGCGAGAGCTGCGAAAATCTTGAAGCTCATTAGTT